AGAGAGTAAGAAGAGAGAGAGAAAGGGAATCCCATTTTTTTTAATTTTGTTACGGATAAGAGAGCAAGTGAGAGAGAGTAAGAAGAGAGAGAGAAAGGGAATCCCATTTTTTTTAATTTTGTTACCGATTTCAATCGGGCGAAGATTAAGGAATCATGATTCCAAAATGTTAGGATTTCGTTTTTCCTTTTTTAGTTTATAAATTACAAAATAAATACCATTTTTTAGCTGTCCTCGAATTATAAATGGAAGCAAATTTTTTAATTCAATCTTTAATAGATTTGAAACCCTATTGATATTTAGTTTAAAAAAAAATCATTGATTGCAAATTTTGTTCGAAACTAAATTACGAAAGAGAGAGAGAATAAATTAATTAGAGAGAATGATAGATGAGAGAAAAAAAATGTTTTGGATAAGAGATTAAATGAGAGATTAAATTTTAAATTTGAACTTCAATCCTAATAAAAATTACGAGAGAGAATAAAAGAGAGACGATAAAATCAATTAAAGAAATAAATTTTGATTAAATCTTAAATTTGAGTACCATTGATGATTAAAATTAACGACATTGAAGGAGTGAAAAATCTTTAATCTATAGATATTGATTTTGCTAATATTTTGAACTTAAATTTGATCAAATTGTTTCAAAATTTATTTATTTATTTTGTAATTTGTAAACTAAAAAAGGAAGAACGAAAGCCTAACATTTTGGAATCGAGATTCCTTAATTTTCGCCTCCATTGAAATTGGTAAATCGGGAATCTTTTTCTCTCTCTCTTCTCGCTCTCTCTCACTCTCTCGCTCTTTTTTCTCAATCTCGATCTCGCTCTCTTCTCTCTCTCTTTTCTCACTCCTTCTCTCTCTCTTATCTTCTTCAATCTCGCTTTGATTTTCTCCCACAATCAAGCTTTAGTTCTTTATTTTCTAGAGGGAAAAAAAAGTGAAGTTCCTCTTGTATAGAACCCATCTACTTCGTTGGTCAAAGAATATCTAAAAAAAATTTGGTTGATTCATGTGGGAAAAAAATGCGAAATAGAGGAGGGAGGGAGGAAAAGTAGGAAAAAATCTATAAAATCTATACATTTTAATTTTGTGAAAGTTTGAAGAGAGAGAAAGAAAGTTTAAAATCCGTAGAATTCTAGAAATTTTGTAGAGAGAAAGGGGAAAGTTTAAAATCCATAAAAAATTTGAAAATTTTGAAAAGAGGGAAGAAGAGAGAGGGGGAAACTTAAAAATTTGAAAATTTTGATTTTGTTATGTTTTACGAGAAAAAGAAGAAAAATCTGAAAAGAGAGGAGAAGAAAGATTGTGAAGAGAGAAAAAGAAACATGAAGAGAGATGTTAAATAGTAGGTTTAGAAGCCTAATTAAGTCAATGGTCTTTATCTTACTTTTACTTAATATCCTTTGTGTTATTCTCGTTATCATTCGGTTAAAATGTTGTCATACAATTCTCATTTGTATCATGTATCATGGCATGCTATTTAATGCAGTCACTTTTCCTTTGTTTGTGATATAGCAAAAACCACTTTTGAGTTGTCTTTTCATCTTTTCTTCCTCTAGGGTTTTCACCCTTTTTATTGTATCAGAGCCTTTTGGCATTGAAAATGGTGCAAATTCCCCATTTGTCTCTTTCATATGGTCTTGAAACTCCGAGACCACAAATCACTACCACTATTAACTCCCCCATTGTCAACCCTATTATTAACCAACCACCACCTCCAACGAGCGGCTTCTCAAATTCTTCCATTCTCAAACCCCATCCCACGACCTCCTCTCACACCTCCACCATATGTCTTCCAACAACAGCCTACGAACTTTCCTCCACCGTCTCCTCTCCACGCCCTGCCTAAAATTCGGGCTCTATCAACTAACCCCTTGTTCCCCAGTCGGCCACCCCTCTCATGCCACAAATGTTTCCTAACATTGTTCACTCCCTTTCTATCAAACTTACTGACTCCAACTATCTACTTTGGAAGAATCAACTACTTAACTTCATCTATGCATATGGCCTGGCCTTGAAGGCTTTATCAATGGCTCTATCCCTCATCCACCTTAATATTTGGATTATGTTCATTTCCAACCCAACCCAGATTTCTCTGTTTGGCAAAAATGTAACCGAACAGTTATGATGTGGCTTTATTCATCTCTTACAAAAGAAAAAATGTGAGAAATTATCTCTTTCTCAACTACTAGAGATATAGGGGAATCATTGCGCTAATCTTATGAATCTACTTCTTCTACTCGTGTTCTTAGTCTAAGTCCCAAATTCAAAGCATAAAAAAATATGGCCTCTCTATTCCGCAGTATTTAGCCAAGATAAAGGCAGTGGCAGACAAACTCTCGTCCATTGGTGAGCTAGTGTCTTTAAAGGATCACATATCTTATATTTTGAACGGACTTGGACCTGATTACAATGCCTTTGTCACATCGATTCATCACAATGTCGAACTTCCCTAAATTGAAGATGTTCGAGCTCTTCTTATGACCTAGGAGTATCGTCTCGAATGCCAAAATTCCATTGATCAACTGAATGTTGTCCAAGCAAATCTTGCAAGTTTGCAACTCCAACACACACCTACAGCACGACGTGGTCCACGTTTCCCTCTTCAGCCTAATACTCGTGACCGCCAAGTTAATCCCTCTCAACTAGGAATTATTGGCAAACCGAACTTCCATTCTCAACATAAAGGTGCCAATCGCCCTACCTTTCCTTCACATAATCGAGTTCGATGCCAAATATGTGGAAAATTTTGGTCACACCGCTTTGGTGCGTTACCATTGAGCAAATCTCCAATATCAACCCTCTTATTTTCCTCAACCACATGCCTTACTTTCTACTATTCCCACTGTCATTTCTAACTCCCTCATCATGCCCTCATCCTCATCCAATATCTTCTCCCCTTCCCCTTTCCTTCTCCCACCATTCCGGACGATGCTTGGTACATGGACTCTGAAGCCACCCATCACCCATGATTTAAACTCTCTCTCCAAACTCATCTCATACGATGGTGGTGAGGAAGTGACCATTGGAAATGGTATGTCTCTTCCTATAACTCACATTGGCTCTACCTCTTTACTTTCCATAGCCAACTCCCTATTTATTTGTCTCAAGTTCTTCGTACCTCATCCATTTCTCACAAATTACTTAGTATTTCCAAGTTATGTCATGATAATAAAACTTTGGTTGAGTTTTATCCCACTTATTTTCTTGTGAAGGATCTCTTTACCAAGAAAATTCTTCTTCGAGACCATCTTGAATGTGGACTATACAAGGTTGGTTCGTCAAAATGTTCAACACCTGTTCGTTCACCACCGTTTGCTGCTGCTATTTCTGCTTCCGTCAACACCAATCTATGGCATTTTCGTCTTGGTCACTCATCTTTACCTAAAACGAGTTTTAGAATCCTGTAAATTGGACCATAAATCCAATATTTTGTCTACTGTTTATTCTTTTTGTCAATAAGCTAAAAGTTAGTTATCTTTTCCTACAAATCATACTAGAGCTTCTAAGTCTTTTGAACTTGTTCACTCTAACTTATGGGGATCTTCTCTTCAAAAATCAATTAATGGTGCATGTTATTTCTTATTGGTCATTGATGATCATACCTGTTATACTTTGCTTTATCTCCTCAAAACTAAGGATAAAGTATTTCCTATCTTTCTTCAATTTCGGGCAATGGTTAAAACTCAATTTAATCTTGATATTAAATCTCTTCAATCTGACTGGGGAAGGGAATTTCGATCTCTCATTATCTCGCCTCAAACTCCGCAGCAAAACGGTTGCGTTGAACACAAAAATCGACATGTTGTTGAATTTGGCCTCTCCTTGTTAGCTCATTTTTCTCTTCCTTTAACATATTGGTCGTTCTCTTTTCAAACTATCGTTTATTTAATTACTCACTTGCCCCATATCTGTTTTATCCAACCATTCTCCTTTTTTTCTCAATTTATTAGGTATTTTTTATTGTTCTTTCTTCCCTTTTCTTCACTCATTAAATCATCAGAAACTTTAATTCCGCTCCGCAAAATGTATTTTCATTGGTTGCATCTCTAATTACAAGGGATATTTATGTTTTGATCCTAAATCTTGGCATTTATATATTTCTCGGCATGTTGTGTTTAATGAAACTAATTTTCCCTTTAAAAATTTTGTTTAATCCATCACCTCCTTTTAAATCTCATATTGTTGATCATTCAACAGCTCCCTCTCCCATTTCCAACGGTCACAACCCTTTGCCTCACAAAAATTTTAAACTTCTAATTTTTAGAATTTTCAAAATTCCAACTTTCAGCCCATTAATCTCAATCACATGTTTTCCCCTCCTTTTTCTCTAGAAAACTCATGCCTCCCATTACAATCTTCTTATATCCCTACAATCAACAACCCATGCATGCCACCGCCTACAGACCCGTCCTTGCCACAGCCCGAAAAATCCGTCCTCCCATCCCACTACCCATAGACCCATCACTTGAATGTTCATCTTCTTCTTTACCTTTGTCTGTTATTCACCTAACCCTCGCCTCACCACCCAAAACCAGTCTCTTACCTGAAACCAACCACATCCCACAACTAAATCGGACATGCACTCTCGTCTCTCCTTCGCCTGGTTGTTGACCTGTTGGTTGTAAATGGGTCTTTCGCCTCAAATTCAAGCAAAATGGTGTCATGGATAGGCACAAGGCACGCTTGGTGTTGGAAAGGGATTTACCCAAACGTCTGGTCTTGATTACTTTGACACTTTCAGTTCGGTTGTTAAACCATCCACGGTGCGCATAGTTCTCTCGTTGGCAGTAAGTTTCAATTGGAAAGTTCAGCAGCACGATGTAAACATTGTGTTCCTCAATGGTGATCTTAACGAGGAGGTATCTATGGAACAACCTCCAGGATTTATTGATCCTGCCCACTCGAGTTTTGTATGTCGGCTACATAAATCTATATATGGTCTCAAACAAAGTCCTTGTGCTTGGTTTCTAAAGTTGAGCTCATGCTTACTTGATTGGGGTTTTGTTTCTTCCAAAACTGATCATCCATGTTTTATTTTCGTCAGTTTTTTGATATTGTAATCATCTTGGTCTATGTGGACGATATCATTATCACAGGCAACCATTCTGATTTACTTTCCTCTTTAATTTTACGTTTAAGTAGTACTTTTTTGTTAAAGGATCTTGGGTGTCTATCTTACTTTCTTGGTGCTCAAACCTCATTTACAACTCTGTTACATCTCTTATTTATTACATCGAGCAAATATGTCTAATTGTAAGTCTATCTCTACACTAATGGCTTTTGGAGCATCATTATCTCTCATCGATGGAGAGCCCTTACCTAACCCAACTAAGCATCGAAGTCTTGTAGATGCCTTACAGTATTGCACAATCATGCGCCCCGACGTATCTTTCGCTGTAAATAAGGTCTGTCGGTTTCTTCATGCCCCTACCTCCGTTCGTTGGTTGGCTATTAAACAAATTTTGCGTTATCTCAAAGGCACAATGCATCTTGGGTTAGTTTTTGTTCCCTCACCCATTATTATAATGAGTTTCACTTATGCGCAGTGGGCGAGTTGTCCAGATGATTAGAAGCACGAATGAGTACTGTACTTTCTTGGGAAACAATTTAATATCTTGGTCATAATCAAAACAAAAAATAGTTTCGTGCTCTAGTGCTGAATCTGAGTATCGGGAACTAGCTAATGTTGCGGCCGAGATCATCTAGATTTCTGCAATGCTCAATGAGTTAGGGTACCCTCCATCTTCTCCACCGCTTTTGCTTTGTGACAAGATTAGTGCAACTTACGTTGCTACGAATCCGATCTTGCACCAATGAACAAAGCATATCGAGATTGATCAACATTTTGTTCGAGAATGCATCCTCAATAAGCAACTTCTCGTCAAATATGTTCCAAGCGAAGACCAAATTGCGGATGCTCTCACAAAACCACTTTCCACATCTCGGTTTCACAATGTTCACACCAAGCTCACGTTCTTCCAAAGCCCAATTCGCTTGCGGGTGATGTTAAACAGTAGCTTTAGAAGCCTAATTAAGCCAGGAGTCATTATCTTACTTTTATTTAATATCCTTTGTGTTATCATCTTTTCTTGTGTTGTATCCTTTGGTTAAAATGATGCCATTCAGGTCTCATTTGTAACATGGCATGTTATTTAATGCAGTCATTTTTCTCTTGTCTGTAATTGTTAGGGATTGCAGTCTCTGGTTTCTTTTTAACAACAAGAAGAAGATAGAGTATATAGAGAGTGGAGTACACACTAGAGAGTGGAGTACACACTAGAGCCTTTTTAAAGTGGTTTGGCCTAAAATGTTGTTTTAGTTTTTCGCTGCACTTCCCCAGCTTGCTAAAACTTCTATGCATGTTCTGGGTTACATGTGAAATTAAGACTCGTGACTTAACACCACCCCCTATTCACTTGTTTAGTCAACCGAGAATGTAATATTTCAGCGCGGAGGCACATCCGGAACAGGTTTCGAGATAAGCCAATCGGTCTTCAAACAAGAGTTGGACAGCTTGACCCGCATTACCTAAGAGAGGCTCGATGAAATTAAGTATGCTTCACACATTTAGTCTTTCTTCTCCCTTACGTGATAGGGCTCTAAAGCCAAGTGCTTGCTTCAGTTACAGTAGAAGTAGGAGAGATCCTTAAGTACTGATATCGAGAAAGCAAGGAYGTTATGAGCATTCGCTAATGTTAGCCCTTGCTTGGTCTTAAGGGGAAGGTTAAAGTTGGGGACAAACGTCCTCATGATTGACTACTAACCCTGATATCCCTCACTAGGTCGGTCTCAACTCGGATCAAACCATCCTTTGTCTATGGAAGGATGTAGTTGAAGAAGAAAGCTAATGTCTTGGTTGTTCGCTCCTAATTTGGCTTTAGAGAGTGGGGAACGCAGTCCTATCCCAATGTCGTTGCAGATTTGTTAGGTGCGATATGCCGACGACTTACTACTGGGAATCGTGGGTGCCGTAGAGCTTCTCATAGAAATACAAAAACGTATCGCCCACACGGGGGGATCTACTCCACGAGGAGCGGTACGGACGTAGATGATATCATCACGACCTCTCTTTTCGTACCGCTAGGGATGCTTAATGTCACTTCGCCAACTGGAGTTACCTGCGCTTTTGTGTCTCTCAGTGTGGTAGGCATTGGGTGTTTCCGAGCAGCGAGGCTTACACCCATTCACATTAGTTCATCCAAAGTTCCTTACCCTAGCGGATTGAAGTTAAGAAACGACTCCCTGTAGGCCAACGAAAGCTGTCAGTTGTGGACATGACTACTATTTAGCTAGGGGGAACTAACTGTTCCCTTGCAACCTTACAGTTCCCCGTAACCGGCCGCATCGGCCCGATTACCTTCGTCACCATCGGTTACTGCAACCATTTCTTTTTTTGATGTTTTTATTTCTGAAGGGCTTACAGGTCATTACACCAAAGGCTTGAAGTGAATGAAAGAAGCTATCGAAAGAGTACCAAATGCTGACGGTGACGAAGGTAACCTACTTTCGGTGGACGCGGAGCCAACAAGTTGAGTTGAACAGCGTAACGAGTCTAAGGTTACAGAAGCGTTTGCCAACTTTGATAGGTATAGCATTGCAAGTAAATAGAACAGAGGAGAGCTTACCGTTTGTTTCTATTAAAGTCGCGAGCTTGTTGTAGTCGGTCAACAAGAGAGAACTTGCTGCTTACTTGCTATATCCCCGCGTTCTTGCATGGCTCGGCTCGTTCTTCAAGCCCTGCTTCTCCCTTCCCCCTCTCCCCTTCTACCGTCCAAAATAAGATCGTATGGAATATAGCCAAGTGGTAAGGCATCGATTTTTGGTACCGGCATGTTGGGGTACTTTTATAGTTAGACTTCTATTAATGCACTCGATTTATCTCGATTTGGGTAGTCACGGGCTCTTTGAGGTCCTCCAAAAATGAAACAACCCCAACCCTTTGTTAGGTTTACCAGGCTTTTTCCCAGCTCTTTGGTAGCTTGTTCTTCCCCTTTCTTTTGCTCTCCACTCCACCCGTCTTGTTGCCTCGAAGAAGTTTCCCCTTTGTTTGTGCGAATGAGTAGGTTTTTCCATGTCATCTACCATTCTTTCTGCTGCAATGATCGCAGAAGCCAAATCTGATACATTTTGCCAACGAAGTTCTTGTCCAGCCCAAGGTTGAAGACTGTTCGGGAAGAAAGCCTGTGCATACTCTTATTTAGAGCGTTCTGAAGCGACATCCACTATTGTATTGGGCAGTAGATCACTTTCTTAAGGAACTACAGAGCAAAGGTAACAATTTTCTTCCGCCCTAATTACAGGTGTATTACAACTTTTATACACCATAACTCAACAATCAATTTTTTTCTCTTAAATTGCGCCTGGCGCAATTTTGACGAGGGTCGGATTTTGATCCTGCACAATTCAAATGCAAAAACAAAAATTAGATTTGAAATCTACACAAAAAAAGCCTTAAAGAAAATGTAAAAATTTCGCAAAAAGAAGACAAAAAATATTTTACACAAAGACGCCCTCAACACGACCAATGGACTATTTTCACTGTTTTTTTATGATTAGGCATGCTTAACAAATAGACAGTAGTTTTAGTAGCAGCAAACAAGGCATGAAGTATGATAAGTAGCCTAGGGTTCATAGAATGTCAATGCTTATATGACCCTAAGTTGTAAGACTAAACATGATATATGTTATCCACAAAACATCTCAGCATGATATCCAGTTGATGGAAATACTTATACCTAGAAAATATCGTGACTAAGCACACATGAACAAAACAAAATTCTGTCAACAACGAAACAAGAGTTAGAAAACTCCCTCGATTAAGTCTTGTTTTGTTCCTTCTTATGGAATAATGCTCATATTTAAGTCTTGTTTGGTTCCTTCTTACGGAATAATGCTCACTGCTCTTTGCCTTATGCCTTGCTTATTTTCTTGGAAACTCCAATCTTGTACTAAGAGAATGAAATTATTAAAACGTTAAGGACATAATAAAAAAAACTGAAAAGTAAACATGACACTAATGTACAAACTTCTCTCCTACTGATTTTACTTTAAAGAACGTTGGAGGCTTTCAACTTTCACTCATTTCCTCAAGCTCGTTCAATCTCTCTTCTACTACTACCATGTCACAGTTTCGCTCCTTTAGAGCACAATATGCTTTAAGGTCTAGCTCGAGGGGTAGATGACTTACTTGTATGCATTGATTTTTTAAAATTTGAATGTGGGGTGAAACTTTAACGTAGAACCCTTCATCTGAACCTATCTCATCTTCTCCTAGTTCTTCATTTACTTGATCCTTCACAGGTTTTGTCAACTCTTCCTTCTTTATGTCCTGGGTTATCTCTAAAGTGCATCGAGGGAAAGGGAAAAGTGGTCCAATATTTAGAGGTGATGGGTTTAGGTCCATTGTAACCTCATGTACCTCTATCGGTTTATCGTGTTCAACTTCCTTATTCTCCCATACCTCATTTATCACTTCAGGGATTGGTGGATCATCATTGTCTATTGGGAGCTAAAAATTTCCAATGATTGCGTTTGTTATGGCATCCATGGTTGATTGTACTCCTGTTGAGGTTGTGACGGGAATTCAGGTGGGAATGTATGCTCATATGGATGGAATATACTTTCATGTTGAAGCTCTCCCCACGGGAAATTCGAATGATCCCTCCAATCTTGGTTGTATGGATTTGAATAAGGGTTGAATTCTTGTTGGTTCCCTTGTTGACCTGGATAATAAAAAGTCGAAGGATTAGATGGACAATATTCCAATGAATGACGAATATCACCACAATATAAACAACATAATTGATTCACAGGAGTTATGGGCATGTTACTTCCCATTGGAAGATTATAAATAAATTGGGACTCCATTTCAAACACTCCTGCTGGTTGTTGGCTCAATACAAGTAACCTCTTATTTATTTTTTCATTTCCTTCTCTTTTTCAGTTTTTTTTTCTTTTGTTTTCTTGACCTCTATTATCGCCTTAACCTCTTTAAAGATTTCTGCAATAAAGTCTTTGAGCTAAAAAAAAAAAATTTGACCCTTTCAGGTTAGATATAACAATTAAACTTGAGGAATAGAGGTATGCAACAATCACACATGAAGCCATTCACTTAAAAAAAATATGATTTGAAAACTTAAGTCCCCGGCAACGGCGCCAAAAACTTGTTGGGACTTTCTCTACCTTCAAAAAGATTAGAGGCTCGTGTAAGTGCACACGGTCACAAGTAATACTTGGTAGTAATCCAAGGTCGAATCCTCAGAGACTTGTTACTTCCAAAACAGTTTTAAAGAAGTGAACAGTTCAAATATGCAATTGTGATTTAGGAAGAAAAATGTGATGAAATGTTGTTGTTTGGGGTTTTAACTATCAAGCAATTTAATAAAACTCAAACCTCTTTGTCTCCTACCTTAGTTTTGATGCAAAACATGGAAAACACACTATGTTGGAAAAATGCACAAGGCGTAATTCCTAACTTTTCTTGGAAGTTGAGTTCTACTCTTTCACTACCGCTTTTGGTTGCTACAGGGGCTAGGGTAACCTACAATCATATGCCTATGTATGATTACAATCATAGAGAATATCTACCAACTCATTTGCATTATGGGTCAGACGGCCTATGCCTAGGACCATGTTTTATGCGCTTATTCCTAAGTCACATCCCATATTGGTTTCCTATTATTTTACCTAACTCACATTTCCCAAGGTTGGACTTTGGTGTATAAATCAAGTTCTCACTAATCAAATGGAAAAAAGATGTAAAGATAAGTTTTTAGAAACCAACCCAAAAAAGTACCAGGCGTAATTTAGCCAAAATCCCAAACGTGTTGAAAATCAAATCATTTGACTAAGACATTCCACAAGGAGGTTGATAACTCATTTAGAACATAATTAAATGAAATTAAATGCACGAAAACATAAAGAAAGTATTTTTCATTGAATTTAAATGAATAAATAAGCCGTACAAGGAGTTCTAGCTTGACCCTCTTCTCTTTCGAGCGTGAANATTAAATGAAATTAAATGCACGAAAACATAAAGAAAGTATTTTTCATTGAATTTAAATGAATAAATAAGCCGTACAAGGAGTTCTAGCTTGACCCTCTTCTCTTTCGAGCGTGAA